TGGGTCGCCGCCCCCCGCCTGGCCTGAACGCGAGAAAGCGCGGCCTGGCCACGGCAGCGCGCGGGCCCACTCCGCAAGGAAAAGTTCTTGGGGGGGAGGGGGGCTGTCAAAGTTTCTGGGATCTTTTCCACTTGAGATTCTACAACCCTGCAGTGCCCCCTACAGAAAGCGGCCGCCAGGGAGGGCGGGCGCCCCCACGACCCTCGACTGCCACCCGCGGCTCGGCCCGGGCGGCCTTGAAGCTCTAGCTGTTGCTTTTGCCTTTTTTTTCCCCCCTTGTTTTTCAGATACATCTTTTTTTAGAATTGGAAAAAAACAGCGAGCGCGAGCCGCTGCCTGCAGTGGAGCGTGCTCGGCCTCCAGAGGCAGTCGTCTCCAACTTTTCCTCTCCCGCCCCAAGTCCGCGCGCGCCTCAAACTTTGGCCCTGTTGGAGCCCAAATTTGCCTGCCGCGCAGCTCCACTCTAACGTCGCGCCCAGGCTCCTGGCAGCGGCTTGCCGCGTGGGAGCCACAGTCCCGAGGCCCGGGCCTGCCCGCTCCCCCGCTCCCCGCGCCTAGGCCCAGTTGGGAAAGGGGAAACCCGGCGCCCCAGGAGCACCCCGGGAGAGGGCGGAGCGCTCCCGCGCCCCGGGGCAAGGGGGCAGGGAGCTCCCGCGCCCGGAACGTTAGGAGCAAGCCTTGTGAACGTCGCAGGGGGGCACTCGCGAGAGACGGACAGGAAGAGGGCCAGGGGGGACGCCAGAACCCGGGACCACAGTACGGAAACGGCCCGGGGCTGAGCTGCACTCAGATCCGGGGATGGAGGGAGCCGGAGAAGAGGAGTGAGGAGGCCGGAAAGCAGGCCCCGCTGCCCTTCTGCCCTCCGGGAGGCCGGCAGCCTGCTGTGGCAGTGGAGGAGCAGGCAGCCCAGAAAGAGAAAGGGTCAGGAGGTCGGGCCTGGGCCTCAGCAGGCTCAGACAAGGCCCAAGAAGGCAGCACCAGGCGTCCTGGAGTTCAGGGCCCTGGCCTCGATCGTTTGCCCAAAGAGGGCCTAGGCCAGTTCCCTAGTGGGGAAACTGAGTCAGACCCAGGCCTCAGGGCACGGCCCAGACGCGAGTGTGAGCCAAGTTAGGGACAGGGGGCCAGGACCCTCGAGGGTCTCCGAGACTAAGGGGGGTAGGGGGCTTCAGGGCTTCTCAGTCCAGAGCTGGATTGGCGAGTTAGACGCTTGTAGATCCAAAGTTGGATTGGGGAGGGGTCTCTGGGACGTTGGCTAGCTAGGCAAGGATTGGGGGGATTTAAGTGCTTAGAGATCGAAGGCAGTCTTGAGTAGGGGGAGTCAGACAATTGGAAAGCCTAGGTGGTTATTTGGGGAGGGGTCTTCGCGGCTTGGCGAAGTGCAGAGCTGCTCCTGTCTGGCTCGAGGTCTGAGGCCTTACGAGAAGCTTCTGTGAAGGGTGGGCCGACCAGGCCAGGCCAAGAGAAAGAAAGTGAACAAATCAGGAATATAAGTGGGCGGGGGGCCCCTGAGAGGGGGGTCACAAAGGGTGAGACATGGCCACCAGGCGTTTAACCGACGCTTTCTTGTTGTTGCGGAATAATTCCATCCAAAACCGGCAGCTGTTAGCCGAGCAAGTGAGTAGTCACACCACCTCCAGCCCTCTGCATTCACGTAGCAATGCTGCGGTGAGTCCCCGGGCGGCCTCTCCGACACACGCGTCGTGTGCACTGCGGCTCTGCCTGTCTGTCTGTCTGTCTGTCTCTCTGTTTAAAAAAAGATAAGAATAATACGGAAATGCAAGGCCTCTTGGCATAACCCTGGATGGGGGAAGAAAAAAACTGTTTTAGGTCCCTGCTCCATCTCTGCCTTGCTCTCTCTCTCCCCTCAC